GTGTTAAGGCTTATACTCTCAAGGTGTTAGGGAAAAATTTTACCGATTTTTTTATTTTTAACTTTATTCGATGGCTAACACTATGTGCCCACCTGTGCTCATTTCTCACATATAACAGTACATGTGAACTGTCAGAGCGTTTTGCTTGCCCGAGTACAATGTGTAGTCGAGCCGCGGCTGACGTCATGATGACGTCAGACACATGATACAACCAGCATTTTCACGATATTCACTGAGCCAGTAGCCATCAACATCAACCCTGCCTGCTACAGCTGTACTACTACCCTGATCCAACAAGTAATCTCACAGAAGCCCAAATAGTTCTCACACCTCGCAACACACCTTACATAAGGCGCACGTTTGGTTGACAGTGACGTCAGGCAATGGCGCGGCCGTTCGAGCCATTTTGCCATGAAATTGCATTGGTCACCCAGAATTCTCAGAATTTCTCAAGGTGCATGCGAACATTTTACCAGTTTAGTTGGTACGTCAGTTAGTCATGCATATGTCGCAGTAAGTACTAACAGTAGATATTTCACATAACGTTCACCCATTTTTCACACAGGCGCGTCGATCATTCGTGAAAAAATAGAAAAACGCTGATTTCTTCATTCCAATTTCTGACTTAGTAGTCGATGTTAAATGGATATTTCTCCTGTGATTTACAACTCGGAATTATTTTATGTTAACACTCGTTTTAATGCGTAACATATTGCCTGTAAAAAAGCCCGTCCAGGGCGATTGTTATTAAGTGCCGTATTTTATGAGCTTATGTCTCTCTTATTCAGCTAAAATTTTAATTGCAAACGTGCGACTGAATTTAGGCAGTTTTGTTCTTATTCTCGGTAAGATATGAAATAAAGCAAAAATCCTTATGCGCTATTTTGGTACATATTGTGCGTATAACATTCATGTGGCGAAATTTTCAGGTATCGCTCACTCTTCTGAGTAATTGAGAAATATCTAAAAATACCATTTTTACATAGAAATTCAACATTTGTCGCGGTAACATAATAGGTGCCCTGGAAATTTCCGTGAAAGTTTTTTGCATTGGACATAGAGATATATCTCCTCTATATAATAAAACAACACGTCTGATTTCACATCATTCCTCAATAAACGTTTAATCCTTTTATTAGAGCAATACCGTCTGCAAAAGCTGGGAGAGTTCCTTAAGCGATAATAGTATCTCAGAAAGTCATGCTCAACACATAACAAAAATCTCCTAATAACAAGTTAATTTTCTGTTCATATACGCTTGTCGTTTGTATGATGGTAACCTGTGCTGTAAAATTAACCTGATTAACCTAATAGCCATATCAGCAGCAAATGCACTCATGTATAAATGTTAAAAGTAATGTCATAATGACATTATAGATTGATCAGGAGTAGATAATAGGGAAGGAGTGTGACTTCAATAAACAAGGGAAATTCGTCATTTACTAGCCTTAGAATACCTACGATTTACTACGCGTAACTCAACCAACTTGAGCTCAAATCGTACACAGTACATTCGCCTAGCATCGTGCGAAATCGTTTCCTCGTATACACCCGGAATCCGGAGATACACACTAAAACGTACGACACGATTTTCCATTCTGTTACCAGCAAACTGGATGTGTAAACCGCTTAACTCGAAACAAAAGGCAGCTGTAAATAGGTCAAAGGTTAGCTCAGCGAGCCACACCGCATCGCCGAGGGCGCAAGAGTCGTTAGTAGCTGCCTTTTGTTTCGAGTTAGGCGGTTTACACATCCAGTTTGCTGGCAACAGAATGGAAAATCGTGTCGTACGTTTTAGTCTGTATCTCCGGATTGCGGGTGTATACGAGGAAATGATTTCGCACGATGCTAGGCGAATGTACTGTGTACGATTTGAGCTCAAGCTGGTTGATCGAGTTACGCGTAATAAATCGTAGGTATTCTAAGGCTAGTAAATAACGAATTTCCCTTGTTTATTGAAGTCACACTCCTCTATTATCTACTCCTGATTCTATTAAAACTTGTTACAGATTCAAAAGCCTGCTTGTCCTTGGGAGTTTTACATTTGTACAATTCTGCACGAACGAATGTCTCATCTCAATGTTGACGTCAATGCGAGGCCATCTGTCATGGCGATTGACAAAGCCTACATGTTCACTGACGGCAGTTGGCTAGTGAACAAATACCATGGCAATGGAACTCTGCTGGTAAGCTTTAACTAAATGCATGTAATTGTACTTGCGGAAAACTTAAAGAATGGAAATTTAGTAAGTGCGCCTGTTATGCGGCAACTCAATGTTGCTTTGTGTGCACGTTACTGTTTTATGCAATCATTGCCAACTTTGTCGTTTGCAGTGTCAGTGTTAAGGATAAAGATAGGTAGAGGAAAAAATAGTAGTTGGATATAATTATTGGAACATTGGCCTATATTTTGGGTGTCAACGAAGCTGGCACCCACTTCTCAAATAGATGGTCATTATCTCTGGTAGCTGACTTATAATGAAAGCTCTGATATATATATGATATATAATATACATGTATATCAGGAGTTAATAAAGACAAATTTGTCTTTATTACTCCTGATATATATACATGCATGCACGCATGCAAGTGCGAGTGCGCACACGTGTAATGTTTGTAGAGTTAGTCAATACATTAGCCTTTAATGTGCCTTTATAATTGCTCTTATTAGGATTTGATCAACCTTCACAAGATGAACAGTAAGGGGAAAAAGTGCTTGGAGGAATCATTGCTTATCTACCTAACTATCGAGATCATTACCATTCTCCAGCAGATACATAGCTGCCACATCATACACGGTGATGTCAAACCGGACAACCTTCTTGTGTGCGAGCTGTGAGTAGCCATGCCTTGTAGCCATTATAATACTGGCATCCTAATTTTCTCATTTTTAGCTCATCTGACATAGTCAGATGCAGCTTGTAGAATCGCATGAGCGTGCGTGCGTGCGTCAACAGTTGGGCACAAATCTTAACCGCTTGACGTACGGTCACGATATTCGGGACGTCGGGGTGGGGGGGATCGTCAAAACGAGTTGGGATGTCGAAGCTGGGGGTCAAAGGTCAAAGGTCAAGAGTGTGTATATAACCTTTTTCATATAAAAATTCATATTTCGTATTAGCTGCCAAATTCATTTTGGTTTCTCTAATTTCATTGCACTTCTTAATATTGTTTTTCAACATTATAACTAAGAATTAAATGGTCTTAGTTTAAACAGTGTGTCACCTGACAATAGTAATAGTTTAGCAAACAAATGTGTACCATATGTTCAGGAGTAGATAATAGGGAAATTATCTACTCCTATTATCTACTATCTACTACCCCTATTATCTACTCCTGATATGTTCTAATGCCAGTGATTGGCTGAGCATGCTGACGGCCCAGCATGCATGCGAAAACACCCGACACAGAAGCCTGTTACACCTGATCTAGTATCTGTGATTCAAATTGTCAACAAGTGCTGATAAATGCAAAATGTTCAATTCTTATTAGTAATTCTTTATTAGTAACTAGGAGTGAAATTGGACAAATTAATACGAATTTGGAGGTAAGGTTAGATATTAATAAATTACATGAGGTGTCAGTAATTCTAGCATTCATTAACAGTGGATTATAGATAGCTGTATTTTTCCTTTAATGAAAACAATATTTGTACCACACAGGAATTCCCCTTCAGCAACTGCCATCACTTCCGTGGATGTCGACCCATTTTCTCCAGAGGTGATTGAGCGCTTGTTGGCTGGGCTGATGAAGCCTGTTTCCTCTTATGAAAACTACCTCATTGTGGATAAGCCCATGTGCTCTGTTAAAGCACACACAGTCCTGGACATGGGTAAGAACTAAATGTATTACCTTACATCTCCTATACAAGGAAACGAGAATTCACTTGCATGGATATCGCAAGTAATGTGGTTTAAATTTTTACTTTTAGGTACAGAATACCATATCATTCAGTGTTTAGGTGTAGGTGCTTATGCCAAAATCTATGAAGCCGAAATCCAGAATGAGGACACAAGCAAAGTGATTCTTAAGGTAATCTTCATAAATGTATAAAATATGGGTCTATTGTTTATGTTGGTATATAACGTGTGGAACGTTTCTATTATATAGTGGAACGTTTCCAACATGATCTAGTCATACAGATTTTATGTGTGTTGTCATTCATAATTTCGTAGTGATCTGATAATTGTGTTAAGGATTATACTCTCAAGGTTTTAGGAAAAATTTTACCGATTTTTTTATTTTCAACTTTATTCGATGGCTAACACTATGTGCCACCTGTGTACATGCTCATTTCTCCATATAACAGTACATGTGAACTGTCAGAGCGTTTTGCTTGCCCGCGTACATGTGTAGTGAGCCGCGGCTGACGTCATGATGACGTCAGACACATGATACAACCAGCATTTTCACGATATTCACTGAGCCAGTAGCCATCAACATCAACCCTGCCTGCTACAGCTGTACTACTACCCTGATCCAACAAGTATCTCACAAGAGCCCAAAATAGTTCTCACACCTCGCAACGCACGTTTACATTAGCGGCGCACGTTTGTTGACA